TTTTTTTTTTCCAACCTCGGAATTTTAAAAAAAATTTCAGGTTTTTTTTCCAACCTCGGAATTTTAAAAAAAAATTCATTTTTTTTTCCAACATCGGAATTTTGAAAATAATTTTATTTTTTTTTCCAACCTCGGAATTTTGAAAAAATTTTCATTTTTTTTCCAATCTCGGAATTTTGAAAAAATTTTCATTTTTTTTTTCCAACCTCGGAATTTTGAAAAAATTTTCATTTTTTTTTCCAACCTCGGAATTTTGAAAAAATTTTCATTTTTTTTCCAACCTCGGAATTTTGAAAAAATTTTCATTTTTTTTTTCCAATCTCGGAATTTTGAAAAAAGGTTCACATTTTTTTTGCAGCCTGGGAATTTTGAAAAAATTTTCATTTCTTTTTGCCAACCTCGGAATTTTGAGAAAATTTTCCTTTTTTTTTGTTCCAGCCTCGGAATTAAAATAGAAAAATTGCCAACCCCGGAACTTTCAAAAAATTTTCAGTTTTTGCCAACCCTGGAACTTTCAAAAAAATTTTTTCTTTTTTTCCCAACACCGGAACTTTCAAAAAATTTTCACTTTTTTCAACTGCTGGAATTTTCAAAAAATTTTCATTTTTTTGCAAAGCCCGAAACTTTCAAAAAAATTTCGTTGTTTTGGCCACCCCAGAACTGTCAAGTGAATATGATATTTTTTATGTTTCTCTTAGTGTATATCCACAGCTGGCGAGCTTGAAAAATATGCCCGGCCACGGTGTGAATCGAGCGTACGACCTTTGGAATACTAGACCAAAAGAAAAAATCATATTACTTGATTGCATTTGTTTCGAAGGAACTAGATTCTGTTGCGAAATATCACATACTCGAACCGACCTGACCACGTAGCTCAGTTGGCTTAGCATCGAGGTAGTAGTTCAAAAAATTTTGAAGTCAAACAAAAAATGGCGGCCAGAAGTAAATCGGGCCCGACCTCGCTTCACTTCGCACGCCCACAACGGATTTGCCGAATACGCTACATGCTCACTTCCTGAAAATGCTTGCAAAAAAGTTTGATATATTTAAGTAAGAATGTAAGATTCGGACTCCGGTTTAGTTTTGGCCGCCGGATTTTCTTACTTAGAAATGTTTCTTAGTAAAAATTAAGTTTTTATAAAACATTAAGTTTTTAAACTTTTTTTTCCAAACTTTGTAAGCTGTCAAATTGTGCTTATGGTCAGTTTATCTTATTTTATAAAAATTGAAATTTTCAAGTAAACAAGTTGTCGTACGAATAAACAAGTTTTTCCATTTGTTCATTAGTTGTCGTTGGCACGACAAGTGGTGATGTAGTAGAGTGTCAACAAAACTTTACAAAACTCTGCAATCATTAAGGCTGATTTGCGTATAACATGCACAAACATTATTATATTAGATTATATCACAACTACCGCTTGTCGTGCCAGCGACAACTAACGACCAAATGGAAACTAGGCTTAACGGGCGATGTCGTGATAAAAATATGATTAAAATCGGACGAACAAAAGACGAAATAACACAAAAGGGCTTCGTGAAAAGCAAAAGCCAAAAGGTTCATCAAAAGTACTTTGAAAGCAAGAAGAAAATAGTCGAACTACGGTAGAAGCAATATTCGTAGTGCTTTAATAATATAAAGCGGTATATTAGAAATATCTATATTTTAAGTGTTTTATTACTGCTCATTTGCAAAACGGGTATGTTAGTGAAAATTTAAAATTTAAATATTACTAAAAAGTAACGGCAAAAACTAATATTAAATTTGAAAATCTACTCTTGAAACGACGGTCAACATGAGTTCATGAGGTTTTATGTGTGTTGTATTGATCCATTATGCACGCTTTATATGTCTTATATATGTACAATAATTGTAAATATGCTAAATATTGGAATATACAGTTAAATTAGTTGCTATTAATATTAATATTAATATATATAATTATATTTACTTTATTTAACTACAATATTTACTATTAATAAAGAGTCCGTGCACGCCAACACTTTCATTTAAATAATTTCAATACAGTGGATTTCCTGTCAACACGTATTTAAATCTTTCGTTGGCTAGAAATTTCAAGAAAAATTCATTAATTTAATTAATTAAACCAACTACATTCCCGCATTCCCCCATTCCCGCATTCTCCCATTCCCGCAATTCCCCATCCCCACATTCTACCATTCCTGTTCTCAGTTTTAAAGATAGCCGTGTTCCAATAAGTATCGAATATGTTCCGAATATGTTCCGGACTGTTTCGTGTTATTCCGGTGGTGTCCGGGCAACTGCAGTGGTGTTCCGGACTGTTCCGTGCTGTTCCGCAGGTGTTCCAGAGGTGTTCCGTGCTGTTCCGGAGGTGTTTCGTGCTGTTCCGGGCTGTTCCGGTGTTCTGGATTAGCGTTCCGTGTTTTAGTACATGCCCATGTATTACGTAATGGGACAGTCACCGATCGATAGCCTCCAAGAATACTTGCCATAAAACTTGCGATGTTTTAATTTTTTTTCAAGATTCTCAAAAGTTAATTTTACATCACGTTTGTAAGTCGTTTTATAAATAACTGCAATTTTCTTAAAAAAATAAATTATTTTATTTCGTCACATTATATTTGAAGGACCGCGAATGTGAGTCAAAATAAGTAGCCAATGTCCGCACACACATGAATTCAACGGCCAAAATCACAAATGAGGCCACACACACGACGGCCAGCAACAATAACAATCCGCTCTCATCTCTTAGTCCCAGTTTGTTGGCAGTGTTAGGATCTTTCGAAACACAACCTGATTCCAGCCATTTTTGGCTCAGCTTTCTGGTCGTGCCATCTTCGTGCATCTTTCGGAGTGCAGTCGTAATTCGTCGTAACCAGGTCGAATTCCGTCGAAAAGGCATCCCATAGCCAGAATTACCAAATGATTTTCCGACCACCTTAAGAGCACAACTTTCTTCTTGAGATGCCATGTACTGTAGCGACGGCGTGTCTTCGAAAAATGCTTGGATTTCTCTAAAACAAAATAATGGCATTTTAGGCGTATTTTACCACTTTTTGTCGTTTCCACTGAACCTCACGTTACCGCTATCTGTTGATTGAAGAAAATTTGATGTTCAATTTGTTCGCAATATGAATTAATGGCGTGCTCTCTTTAATGGAGTGTTCTCTTTATGTGCAAAATTAATTAGAACCACTTCATTACGTTTGAAATGGCTGATGTACTGTTTAATTAAATTAAAAATGACGCGAGCCAACAGATCACGACACTTTGGTATACAAAAGGGCGTGGGAATTCAACAAGTCTCGTATTATTAACGCTGATAAAGATCAGAGTTTACGGATCGAAAGCTTTGCAGTATTAAATTTACGTGGTGTTTCCACAAAAAGAAGCATTATAGTAATACTTTAGTTTACACCTATATATCCTCAGAATTTTGCCATGATTGTAGCTATAGGTGGAACCAAGACTGTAAGTTTAAATATTTATTCAACGGCGTTAATGTTTTGTTGCCAAATTTAAATAAAATATATTTAACCTTTCTGAAGGCATAGTTGTTTCGATCACAGGCTTCTTATATGGTAGTTGAATTTATCCTTTATTCTATATTCTATACTCTATACTGATAGAGAGTTTAAATTAGTTTCAGCTCAATTAAAAATTTAGACATGGTCATGGAACAAACATTTAAACAATTATAGGAATATATAATTCAATAAGTTGTAATAATAGTAATAATAATTATAATAATAATGATTTAATTCAGTATTTCCATAAAGAAATGGCTCTTCGCCTGAAAACTATGTTAACTATCTACATTATCTACAATATGATATACATCTATAGTTTTATACTAATTAATGTTAACTTATATAAGGTAAGCATAAATTAGTAGTAATCCATGGGGAGAAAGCTGGTGGTGGCTTATTGATGTATGTTGCTGACAGAGTCAAAGCGAACAGAAGATACGAGCTCGAAGATGACTTCGTCGAATCATTTTGGTTCAATGTGTGCCCTCATAACTCGAACAGACCAATTTTAGTAGGGGCTCTTTACCGTCCACCCTCTGCAAATGCAGACGCTGACTTAAATATCGAAAATCATATTGAATCAGTGTATCTAAAGAGTAAAGAGATAATTTTGGTCGGTGATTTCAACATCAACTATCTGGATCAGAGTGCCTATTCTAAGCATCGATTAGCTAAGTTTTTAAGGGCCTGAATATGTCTCAGCATGTGAAAGTTGTTACAAGACCAGCTAGCGAGTCCTGTTTGGATATGTCTACACAACAAATTCTAAATTTATTTCCAACATTGTTGTGCCCGACATTGGTTTATCTGATCATTTTCCTGTGTTTGTCTGTCGTAAATATTTTGACCATAATAAAGACCTTACTCATAAAACCATCAAATATTTCGACTTTAAGAACTTAGACACAGATGCCTTGCTAAACGATCTTAAAGACTGCCCTTGGGACAATGCTTTCGTTTTCGACGATGTTGATGACATTGTCGATACGCTTCAAGACCTTTTAAGTCAGGTACTGAACGAATATCTTTCAGCAAAACAAAAGCGCGTAAGGAAGATTAAACAGCCTGACTGGTTTAATGATCGCATTGTTACCGCGATAAAAACCCGCGACAAAGAGCTTAATAAGGCGAGGAAATCGAAAGATCCAAATGACTGGGCAGAGTATAAACGTTCTAAGTGTTTTGTTATAAACTTAATAAAGAAGTTAAAACGTTCATACTTTCAAGAGTCAATTGACAACAACAACGGAAACCCACAAGGAATTTGGAAAGCGCTAAAATCTCTTACCAAGTCTAAAAAACAAAGCAAGATCACAGATTTAAAGAGGGAGGATGGCACGTCAGAAACTGATATACTAGCTATGTCGAATATGTTAAATGAATTCTTTGTGAATATTGCGAGCGGTTTGTGCGCTAACTCTACCCCAAGTGAGTTGGATACAAGCATTCTTGAGAACTTTGTTTCGTCTAAATTTACTAATTACAACACTCAATTTAACATCCCTCCTATAACGGTACAGGACACTATGGAAATGATTGATAGTCTTTCGAGCCGGAAAGCAACAGGTTCTGATGGTATTAGTGTCAAAGTATTGAAATTAGTTGCACCCGTCTTATGTCAGCCGCTAACACGAGTCTTCAATCTATCCTTGGAAAAAGGGTGTTTCCCAAGAAAATGGAAGGTTGCGCGG